GGGTCCATCCAGGAGGTGGTACCTGGGGCTAAGCCTGGGTGCTGAGGGCACCTTTTTAAGTGTCTTCTGAGTGCCGCCTGCCTTGCTGAGACATGGGAAATTTCTCCCCTGTGTAAAATGAAATGAGCCTTGTTGCTTGTTCACTGAGAGCAGAACTGGGCCCAGGTCCTTACTCCACAGCAATGTGTTTATACGCTCCTTTCAGCTTCACCTCTGCTCCCCACTGTCACGTGTCCTGCATGGAAACAGTGGGGGAAACCATCCGCCTTGTCCCTCCACTGCATCCTGAGCCTGGTGGCGCAGCGTGCTCTGAAGAACCAGCAGCAGCTTGACCTGTGAAGGCAGAAATGTGGCACGAGGACAGAGTCCCTTTGGAAAGGCTTTGGAGAGCTCCCCCGTCCCCTGAATCTCTGCCATCGTCCCGCTTCGATGCCAGGCTACAAATGACCTTTCCCTGGCCAGTCCTGCTTCCATGTCCATGCTGGGGCACTGCGGTGGGGTGCGCGTCGCTGTTAGTTGTCCAAAGGCTGTGCAGCGAGCATGCTACCTGGGGCAGAAATGTGGCTCCCAAATGTGATAGGTCAAATCTGGAAGAGGTTGAACTGCAGGGCTGAGTTAAGTGCTGTTGGCAGGTCGACCCCGTAGTGAACCACAGCCTCTGCCCCTCCTGACCTTGTCCTGAAAGGTGAATCTTTCTGGCTATCAGAGGTGAAATCAGTAGGTGTTGGCTGCAAGTGGCAATGACTAACTTTAATTAGCAGGAGCTGCTGGTGTGGCTGTGACCCGTGGGCGACGCAGGCTCCCACCGCGGGCAGGGCTGCGGGCAGGACCAGGCCTGCAGCGCCCAGCACCGGGTGCAGGAAGGCCAGGGCTCCTCCGGCAGCGCACTTAAAAATTACCCCGAGCGCTAACGAGCCCCGTAGCCACCCGCTGAAAAATGTAACATGAATCTAGTTTGAAAAAAAAAAAGACTTGAAACTGATTTTGTTTGCAGATAAACACGAGCATTTACAAATGAAGTGTAATAATTGTTACTTGTAATCAAAGTTTGTTCATATTAGGCTGTTAATTTCTTGACCTCCTTCCAAGATGTTTTTAATTATCCCTTTCACTCTTTACCATTTGATTCTTTTCGAGCCGATGGCTGGGGAATACACAGCTGGGGAGATAATAAAGCCTTCCTGTGGCAATTATCGGTGCTCAGGCCACCGTATCTCGTTATTTTGATAGACAGTGAACTTGGCGCGGTTGCCGGCCGGGTTCACGCAGATGTCACGGTCCGTGTTGTAGGTCACAAGCAGGTCAGCGCCCGGCAAGGGGAGAGCGAGCGGGTCAGGGCGCGGCCGCCGCCGCCCCGCGCGCCCCCCCCCCGCGGGGCCGCCCCGCCGTACCCCGGGGCGCTGCGCACCTCCGGGGGCCAGGAGGTACCCCCCCCGGGATAGGGGGTATCCCCTTCTTGGGCAAGGGGCTGCGGAGGCGGGCAGCCCCGCTCCGGCAAGGCATCGTAAGAGGAGGGAGAGTCCCGTGTGATGCGTTGATTGTCAGAAAAATAATAATTAAAAGTGACATCCTCCCCCCCTCCCCCGGATACACAAACACACACACACAAAACTTCCAGCGTTTATTGAACTTGTGTGGGAGCAAGGAAAGAAAAGTAACAGGGAGGGAAAAGGAAACAAAAAAGGAAAGGAAAAAAAAAAAAAAAAAAAAAGCGAGCAAGACAGTTTGTTGGTATCAAGCGG